GAAATTTGAGTCTCTGTGTGTCTTTATATTCACAGAACAAAACTACACAAAAAGTTTTGTAAAAGGAATTACTCTTTCATTCCATAGTAGCATTTTCACATCCAGAGGCAAATCCAGTTAGGAGGCTTTGCAGATTTGACTCAGTTCACTTACACCCTAGAAAGAGCTTGGTTAATACAAGCTGCAACCTCCCTGAGGTCTGCAAATATGCAAACACTGATATTTTTCTCAGACAAAATAAACATCTTATATAGTCACTATGACATCTTTTTTGAAATGCTAAGAAAAGCTACTTCTTGGAAATCACGGTCTTTTCAGTTCTCTATTCATTTGATAAGAACGCCCTCCCTATGAACTCTAACAAGCTCCAGCTTCATTTGCCAGTAGGAAGATGGATTATCTGTGCCCTCTCCCCCATGAAAATGACATCATTTTATGTCCTTAGAAGTGTCCATTTTGGTAAAATCGATGTATGACAGATACTAACATTTATTAATATGGCATTTATTTGATAACCATTTATTAGTTAAATTCCATCTTGAAACATGAATAAAAATTGTTGATTTATTTAAGGAAAAATATGAGCTGGGCATGGTGTGGGGTACCTGTAGTCCCAGCTACTTAAGAGACTGAGTCAGGAAGATTGCTTGAGTCTAGGAGTTTGTTGGTAGCTTGGCAATGTAGGGAGACTGTCTCAAAAAAGGGGGGATGGGCTGAGGGTGTAGTTTACTGGTACATTGCTTGCCTAGCATATAAGGCCCTGGGTTTCATCCCCAGCACAGGAGGGAGAAAAGTCTATCCTAATCTCGGATGCATAATAATTATTACTTCCTTTCTTTGACTTACTTTGCCAAGGAGAAATATGCTCCTTACTTGTCATTCCAAAAGTAAGATTGAGCTGGAAGTGTCTTACTGACAGAATTCACTCCATGTGCTTGAACAATGTCAGTATTTACTGTGAATGTCTTGAAGGCAGGTAGTAGTTATTTTTTTTTTAATCTCTCAAGATAAAAATGTTAAATGCTTCTCTCATTTTGTCCCTCTCTGGCTGAAAACCCTCAGTGGCTTTCCCAATTCTATTTCATAAACATTTACAGAATACTTCTTCTCTGGCATATTCTGAGGCTCTGTTTTTTTGGTACTAGGGATATAAACATGGCTGTCATGTGGGCTCTTTCCTCACAGAGCTCATAATTTAGGAAGGGAGACAGATGAGTAAATAACTAACTACAATCCTGCTTGATAAATGCCACGTTGGAGGTTGTGAACAAAGTGCCATGGGAGCACCAGCGAGTGATTGATTTGAGGGAAGGGGGATGGGGTGGGGATCAGGAAGGACTAAGAGGCAGAAGTGACATTTGAGTTGAGCCTTAGGGGATGAATAGAATTTTGCCAGATGGACAAAGGGGTGGGGGTGGGGACACTCCAGACTCATACAAAAACATGAGAGTGTGAAAGTTTGTGCCTTTGTCTGAGTGGTGGTGAGCAGTATATAGTGCTGAAGGAGAAGCAGGGTTCAGAGAGGGGAGATGGGGGTTGATATTGCAGAGGTCACCAGGGCCATCTTGTAAAGTTTACATTTGACTTGTAGCTTCTAGGGGGTCACAGAGGTTTTAAAATAGGAAAATGATACAGCAAGGTCTTTGTTTTAGAAGATAATTTTGGCAGCAGAGTGTAAAGATGGTTTGGATGAAGGTGACTGGAACAAGGGTACCATTCAGAAGGCCATCCACATGGTCCACATGAGAGATGAGGGTCTGAATCAGTGCCACACTGGTGGGGATGAAAATGAGGACAGGGACTTGAGAACTATCTCTGTGTGAGAGATAGTTCCCTTGGAGAGAGGGACAAAGGAAAAAAAAAAAAAAAAGACTTGGATGACTTGCTAATAACCAAAATAGAGAGCATAGGTGAAGAAAAGCTTATGGGGTGGGCGTAATGAATGTGACTTTGGATCTGTTGAATTTGGGAGGAATACCAATTGAAGATTCCTAAATGAAAGACATAAATGCAGATAGAGACCTGTAGAAAAATATCATGGATAAGCATACATTGGTAAGTTTTTAACACAGTGATTACCCATCAGGGTAAGGGGTGGGAGGACCTGCTTTGTCTGGATTTTTATTTGTGTGTTTTCACCTATCATCAACTTCTGATATGCTCCTGCTGGGGGCCACTGTATGTAGAACAGTACTTAGTAACTATAGACATCACCCCAGTTGTCAAGTTGAGCATAAAAGATAATGAAAAGACATATAGGAAAACTAGTGTTTACTAATATGCAGATATTAGTAAATATCTGCATATTAGTAAACATACAACAACTGCTGAATTTCCCCACAGGATTGGGAATATCAGCAAAATAGGAAAACCAAAACAGACCAGGGAGGGGAGGGAGAGATAGTTCAGCTCTGGGAATTAAATAACCCTGGAAAATCACTTCCTATGTCTGGTGGCAATGCATGTTTAATACTAATATTAAATTGTGTCTATTGTGTCTGTTGTGTCTTTTATTCTCTAATAAGCATTTAAAGTATACACACACTGTTGTAGTCTGCTAAAAACATCTCTCATTTGTTTTTCCCTTTTTAACATTATTGTGTGTGTGTGTGTGTGTGTGTGTGTGTGTGTGTTAGAATTGAACCCATAGCCTTACTCATGCTGAGTATATGCTCTAGCACTGAGTTATCCTCCAGCCCTTTAATAACTGAATTCTAGAAGTATGCTTTAGGTGCTAAAAAGCCAACAGTAGGACTGAAACACTAACGTTAGAGGAGCAATGTTAAACAACTGCAGTTTCATTTGAATGGATACTCAAAGATGCCCACTGATGCACTTTTGAGGTGCCTTTTTGTGCCTCTGACCTTTGCTTTTGCAGTGATCCATGTACAGATTCCCTGTTTTGACAAAAGCTGGCACTTGCAAGAAGGTTTAGGAATGAGGGGGTATGCTTTGTTTGCAAATATTCTTCCTTTTTATTGCTTTCTTTCTTGTCTTCAAAGCTAAGTGAAGTGAATGATTATTATATAAAATAAATCTGAAAACTTGACATCTTGGATTCTTGGGGCTATTCCTGTAAGGTAAGGTTAAAAAACAATCTGTCTTTTTGATACGAAGGGAAGAAAATAATACTTCTGTTTGGCATGTTAATTGGTACATTTGAATAAGAGAGACCAGTTCTGTGCTTAGTATCTTAGTTCAAGGAGTCAAAAGTTTTCTTCTAGTTGGCCTTGGTTTGTTTCTTGATATAATCATGTTCTTCTATCAGTTTTAAAGTGCTAAACTAAAGTGAAATTAATACAGCCTGCAGTAGACATTCTTAGGCATACAATGCAATAATTGAGATAATGATAGTTTGTTGACTGATTAGCATTTACTAGGCACTACATTAAGCACTTTGCACACATTGTACATATCATTTTCCCACCTCACTGCACACACACACACACCCCCAAAATGAGAACAGCACCTATAGTGAGAACCTAGGCTTTGTCAGGGAAGAAATTTTGGTCTGTTTTGTGTATAGTTTTTCTTTATCCGTGTTAATTAGAACAGTGCCTACCACATAATAAGTGCTGAGTAAATGTTGTTTTGAATAAGTGATTTACATTATTTTATCCATTCACAACCTATATATTGCTGGTGGGCGATAGCTGCTTGCTCCACACTGGGGAGCAGAGGGCAGCACAGTGAAGGTGATTTTTCAGTTCTGTAAGTGGATCCAAGGCTTAACTATATAAAAAGCTAAACCATGCTGGGTGCCAGTGGCTCACGCCTATAATCCTAGCTACTCAGGAGGCAGAGATCAGGAGGATCGTGGCTTGAAGCCAGCCCAGGCAAATAGTTTGTGAGACCCTATCTCGAAAATGCCCATCACAAAAATAGGGCTGGTGGAGTGGCTCAAGGTGAGGGCCCTGAGTTCAAACCCCAGTACTCGGAAAAAAAAAAAAAACAAACAACAAACTAAACGTAGGGGAACAGTTATTTCTAGACACTCCTGGAGATGCTATTAGAGCTGAAAGACTGATAAATAATGGAGAAATGAGTGAAACATTTGAATTACTTGGAGCCAGGTCCGGACTTGGCACTTGCTTAATCAAGTCATTATTATTGTTGCTAGGACTTCGATAGCATCATTGCTGCCATCATTATTTTGTCTGAGTCTGATCAGAGCTCTGATGTGCATGTCCATCTCTGTTGAAGTAGTCAGAGCTGGTTTCTTACACAAGATGATCCTCAGTGCTTGAATAGAATGTGGACAGGTGGGGCAGGAGAGAAGGGACTCAAGATGGAAAGAATCCTATAAACGGTGGAGTGGAGGCAGAAATTTCATGTTCACTGTTCTTTGGACAGTGAAACGTCATGTCTGGTACAAAGGGGCTTGAGGGTCACTAGAGGGAGCAAAGATTATGATTGACAGTTCACAATGTGTTGGTCGTGTTATGATTGCTATGCTATATTCATAAAGTTGTGTTTGAAACTCTGCATGTGTTTTGGTGAACAACCAAGTACTCTTTAATGGGAAGTTATATGGTCTTGTTTTTTAATGCTATAATCTGTAATCACAACATGTGTATCTGCTGGAGAAATAATATTTGTACCTTTGGTGTCACATAACCAATGAGACTATACTCATTAGTGTCCTAATGAAAAGGCCACTTGCAATTGGCTTTGTGTTTTTGAAATTTAAGAACCTCATTTACCAACCTCTTCCATCATTAGTTGAGTCAAAATATCTTGGGGGATTAGTACATGTACCATGTTTTTGTACTAATCATCATCTTTTATAGGTTGTAATTGTTGGTGGACCAGGTTTGTGCCTTATTCATCCTCATGTCTCTTACAGAACTGAATCCAGTTCCTGGCATAAACTAAGAATGCAAAAAATAGTCAAATTGAATTTTCAAAGCTTGCAAGGCTGGCCACCTTGCACTTGTGGGAGTAATTTGCAGCTGAGCTGTGCTTTTTGAGATATGTAATTCACTTAATGTTGTTCTTAGGTCCAGCCTGATGAGTGAAGAGACTAAGCGAGGAGCACCCAACCCTTGGCTCTTTGAGGAGCCAGAGGAGACCAGAGGTTTGGGTTTTGATGAAATTCGGCAACAGCAACAGAAAATTATCCAAGGTACTGAATACCTAAGGAGTGTGGGCTCAGAAACCTTGTCAGATTTTAACTGTGGCCTTGACTGTCCTTTTCTCATTGAAATAGGAGTGAAAACTATTGGTTTTTGAAAGTTCTTGGCAATTTTGTGCCTCAGGATATCTGAGAAATAGAGAGTTGTTATCACCTGTCTTGATACTGCTTAGAAGTAGTGATTTTTCACCTGGTAAGAGCAGTGATAGGTCTGAATATAGCAAGGCCAGGTGAACTTGATGCTCCTACCCTTTGCTTTTCTCCAAACACAAGATGCCATGTTTTTCTTCTATAAAGTAAGTCAGTTTGGCTCTTACCTTTAAGTTCATTTTGCCCATTAACTTTAAACTTAATTACTTTTTAATTTTCTTATTTTTTTAAGTTTCAGAGGTAACAGGTTTCTATACAAAGTTCAAACAATGTAGGGACAGATAAGATGAAAAGATTTCTACATTGCTTCTCCAGTCTCAAAATTTTAAATCGATTAATATATATTTTCTCAAACTTTTCTGTATAGATGTACATACATATATTCATTACAAACACATACATTTTATATGTGAGGCTGTGAGGTACCTTGCTAACTCTATAAATGTATCATTCCACAGGGTTTTAAATTTAATATATTATCTTGGACATTTTTTCATGTCAGTATGTATGTTATTCTTTCTAATTCTACTTTCTAAAAACAACTTTACTGGGATATAGTTGACATTGCCATAGCCAGCACGTATTTGAAGTGTATGATAAGCTCTGACATGTGTGTACATTTATGAAGCATCACTACACTCAACATAATGAGCATAATCATTACTTCCAGAAGTTTTCTTTTTGTCTCTTCGTAATTCTTCCTGTTGTCTCTCCTCCTGTCCCTAGACAGCTGCTAATCTGCTTTCTGTCACTATAAATTAGTTTCTATTTTCTATAATTTTACATAAGTAGAATCATACAGCATTTACTATTTTGTGGGGGTTTAGGGATCTGGCTTCTCTCTCTAAGCGTAATTTAAAAATGTGTGTCGTTGTGGACATCAGTATTTCATTCTCTAATATTGTAGAATAGTACCCCATTGTTCGGATTTACCATAATCTGTGTATCCATTCACTCATTGATGGTTATTTGGTTTGTTTTCAGTTCTGGCGATTACAGATAAAGCTGCTATGTTAATTTATGTGTAAGTCTTTGTATGGACATAAATTTTCATTTTTCTTTGGTAACTACTTATAAGCAGAATGACTGAGTCATATGGTGATGTACACTTAACTTTGTAAAAAATTTTTTGGTGCTGGGGAGCAAACCAAGGGGCTGATTAATATAGGCAAGTGTTGCACCACTGAGGTACATTCCAGCTCCTTAACTATTTTTATTTGAAAATTTAAAATATATGATTGGAAAATGAAAATTACATATTTTTGATATACAACATAGTGTTTTGAAATATTTATACATTGTGGAATGGTTAAATCAAACTACATATGCATTACCTAACGTGTTTATTTGTGGTGAGAATACTTAAAATCTACTTTCAGTAACATTCAAGTGTGTGTTCCATGGTATAGGCTACTTGGGAGGTGGGAATCGGGAGAATGTGGTTTAGGGCCGGCCTCAGCAAACTAGCTGGGCATCATGGTAGGTGTTGCAGTCTCAGCTACACAGGAGGCATAAGCAGGAGGACCACGGTGCAAGGCTGGCCCTGGCAAAACCCCACAACCCTATCAGAAAAATAACTAAAGCAAAAAAGGTCTGGGGCTACCCCAGACTTTACACAATCCAATAGCAACTTTGGATTACACAATAGCAACTTTACACAATCCAAACCCCCTGCAATCTCTGACACAAACATCCTATACTACAACAACAGAATACACCCAACCACACACAAGGGCCATAAAAACCAGCAGCCCCGCACCGCTTTCCCCACTCACCCATTCCCCCACTCCACTTCCCACCTCCCCTTTTAGTGACACCCTATCCAATTCCCTAAACTTCTATAGATAGCCTAACAAATGTTAACCTCCCCAACTCCCGCTGCTATAGATACTACCACCAAGGGGTCTTCTATTAATATATTAACTACTGGTCGGGTATCGAACCTGTGGATTTGTTATTACTAAATTACACCCAGACCAGGGACAGAAATAGCACACCAAGACAGCCACAAAACAAAAATTAAATCAAGGGAAAGAAAGCAGGTGACTAAAACCACCAACTAGCCTATCAAGAACTTAGTTGCACAGCACCAAGTAGAGCGATGGGAAGAAGATGAAGAGATGGAAACCACTCTCCTCAAAAAAATAATTTAATACAGGATTCAGAGGGAGATGAAGAAAATGAACACCCAGTTCCTGACCCCCAACAAAACAAAGAAAACGACACCAAGGAACCCAGTGATGCCCATAAAAACATCCTCAAAGAAGAAATCTTGCAAGTAATCACTGAGAATTTCATGGAGAAGATACTAGACGCGGTTAACCAGAGTGTACAAGATGCACTCAAGAAATTTCAAGACACCAAAAATAAATAATATGAGAAGACACAAAAACAAATAAATGAACTCAGAGGAGCCCTAAATAAACACCAAAGCAAAACAGAGAACACTATAAATAAAGGGATAAGTGGATTAAAGAAGAAAATAGAAAATATTAAAGATGAAGTGACCAAAGATATGAAAAACCTTAGAAAAAAGAATGAAACAGAAACACAAAACACAGTGGAAGGCCACTCTAGCAGACTAGAACAAGTGGAAGACAGAATCTCAGAACTCAAAGATAAAATAGAAATTAAAGAAAAAACTGAAGAACAGTTAGTCAAACAACTCGACCTGTGAAAGGAATATGCAAAGGATGTGAATGCCACTACAAGGAGAACTACAAACCCCTGAAGAAAGAGCAAGGAAGACTACAGAAGGTAGAAAGATCTCCTGTGCTCATGGATTGCTAGAATCAACATAGTAAAAATGCTATACTACCAAAAGCAATCTACATGTTCAATGCAATTACCATCAAAATCCCAATGACAGTCATCACATTCTTGTGTTCATTTAGAAACACAAGAGACCGCAAATAGCCAAGGCAATACTCAGCAAAAAGAGCAATGCTGGAGGTTTCACAATACCCAGCTTCAAACTATATTACAAAGCAATAGCAATAAAAACAGCATGGTACTGGCACAAAAACAGACGTGAAGACCAATGGAACAGAATAGAGGACCCGGATATGAATCTACACAGCTATACCTACCTTGTTTTTGACAAAGGTGCCAAAAACATACAATGGAGAATAGACAGCCTCTTCAACATATGTTACTGGGAAAAGTGGTTATCTGCCTGCAGAAAACTGACACTAGATCCTTTTTTTTTTTCTTTTTTTATTATATTCATATGTGCATACAATGCTTGGGTCATTTCTCTCCCCTCCCCCACCACATCCCCCCCACCCCCGCTCCCTCCCTTACCCCCCATTACCCCTCGCTATCAGGCAGAAACTATTTTGCCCTTATCTCTAATTCTGTTGAAGAGAGAGTATAAGCAATAATAGGAAGGATCAAGGGTTTTTGCTAATTGAGATAAGGATAGCTATACAGGGAGTTGACTCGAATTCTTTCCTGTACACGTGTGTTACCTTCTAAGTTAATTCTTCTCGAACTGACCTTTTCTCTAGTTCCTGGTCCCCTTCTCCTATTGGCCTCAGTTGCTTTAAAGTAGCTGCATTAGTTTCTCTGCATTGAGGGCAACAAATGCTATCTAGTTTTTTGGGTGTTTTACCTATCCTCATATCTCCCAAGTGTGCTCTCGCTTTATCATGTGGTCAAAGTCCAATCCCCTTGTTGTGTTTGCCCTTGATCTAATGTCCGAATATGAGAGAGAATATATGATTTTTGGTCTTTTGGGCCAGACTAACCTCACTCAGAATGATGTTCTCCAGTTCCATCCATTTACCTGCGAATGATAACATTTTGTTCTTCTTCATGGCTGCAAGAATTTCATTGTGTATAAATACCACATTTTCTTAATCCATTCGTCAGTGGTGGGGCATCTTGGCTGTTTCCATAACTTGGCTATTGTGAATAGTGCTGCAATAAACATGGGTGTGCAGGTGCCTCTGGAGTAACCTGTGTCACATTCTTTTGGGTATATCCCCAAGAGTGGTATTGCTGGATCATATGGTAGATCAATGTTTAGATTTTTAAGAAGCCTCCAAATTTTTTTCCAGAGTGGTTGTACTAGTTTACATTCCCACCAGCAGTGTAAGAGGGTTCCTTTTTCCCCACATCCTCACCAACACCTGTTGTTAGTGGTGTTGCTAATGATGGCTATTCTAACAGGGGTGAGGTGGAATCTTAGTGTGGTTTTAATTTGCATTTCCTTTATTGCTCGGGGTGATGAGCATTTTTTCATGTGTTTTTTGGCCATTTGAATTTCTTCTTTTGAGAAAGTTCTGTTTAGTTCACTTGCCCATTTCTTTATTGGTTTATTCATTTGGGGAGAATTTAGTTTTTTAAGTTCCCTATGTGTTCTGGTTATCAGTCCTTTGTCTGATGTGTAGCTGGCAAATATTTTCTCCCACTCTGTGGGAGGTTTCTTCAGTTTAGAGACCATTTCTTTTGTTGAGCAGAAGCTTTTTAGTTTTATGAAGTCCCATTTATCTATGCTATCTCTTAGTTACTGAGCTGCTGGGGTTCCATTGAGAAAGTTCTTGCCTATACCTATTTATTCCAAGGTATTTCCTACTCTTTCCTGTACCAACTTTAGAGTTTGGGGTCTGATATTAAGATCCTTGATTCATTTTGAGTTAATATCGGTATAGGGTGATAAACATGGATGAAACTAGATCCTTGAGTTGTTTTCAACTCAAGGTGGATTAAGGACCTTAATATCAGACCCAAAACTCTGAAGTTAGTACAGAAAAGAATAAGGAATACTCTGGAAGAAATAGTTATAGGCAAGGACTTCCTCAATAGAACTCCAGCAGCCCAGCAACTAAGAGAAAGGA